TCAGGGAGACTCGGAGCAGCTCCTGCCCTTCCCTGGGGCTGACAGCATCGGGGAAGACTGGGCTGGACAGGCCTGTCTGAAAGGCGCGGGCAGGAGCAGTGAGCCGGGCCCGGTGCTGCAAAAGTCTGGCAGGGTTCTGAGGGCATCGATGCAGGGACCCTGCCAGGCACAAGCTGCCCTGTCCCCACAGAAAGCCACAAGCACGCCCCAGGCAGGGTTTCCTCCCCTCAATGGTGAGCTGCAGCACCCAGCACTGTATGATAGTGCCATCTCTAATGATCTAAAGAAAGAGTCAACAAAAGGAAGCTTGAGCTGTTGGAGTGGCAAAGCTATGGAGTACCAGCTTACACCAGTGGTGGTCTTGGACCCACTAGAAGTGCTGGTGAGCATGAAACGCAACAAAAAGGCAGATACTCCACCTGCCTGCCAGCAGCCAGTATCTCCTTTGGGCCTTCAAGGCATCTTGGAGAATAAACATAAGAGTCCCAAGTTCATTTCTGGAGGGGGAAGTACCTGTAGAAAAGCTTGCATCAGTGGCTTCAGCGCCAGCCGGTGGGGGAGGCAAACAAGGCTCCATCCAAAAAGGCACAAAAATAAGAGACAGCAGCAGCCTAATAACTCCTTTGCCAGACCACAGATGAGGCAAAAAGGAAGGCAGAAAGGGAGTGTTTTGGAGATGTCTGTAGATGTAAGAGACAATGACTGTTCATTCCTCAATAATTCCTATTCCTGGGGTAGAGTTCGAGCATCTTTGTCCCTCCATAAGAAGAAGAAAGTTACCGCAGAAGAGATTTACTGCAACAGCATCCTTTGTACCCCTTCTGTGAAATCCCAGCTTTCAGAGCACCAAGCAAACCTCTCTGCTAGTAGGTCTCAGAGCTGCACTTGGTCTACTTCCTCCATGGTGCTGCTGGCTCCTAGGGACTCCTGCTCTGTGCTGGAGCCAGTGCTTACAGATGCAGAGAAGGTGTTTGGGGAATGCCACCAAGCAGGGCCCATCACTTTTGAGGAATGCATTCCTTTAGATAAGATGAAAGATTGTAAGAAAATTGGAGAAGGGGTGTTTGGAGAGGTCTTCCAGATTGACAGTGAGAGAGGACCTGTGGCCTTAAAAATAATTCCCATTGAGGGAACTGAAAGAGTAAATGGTGAAGCTCAAAAGAGCTTTGGAGAGGTTCTGCCTGAGATAATAATTTCAAAAGAACTCAGTCTTCTGTCTGAAGAGTCTGTGAATAGGACTGTTGGGTTCATCAGCTTGTACTCTGTGCACTGTGTTCAAGGAGCCTACCCCAAATATCTCCTGGAAGCCTGGGACAAATACCACGAAGTAACGGGTTCAGAAAATGATCGGCCAGACCTTTATGGGGATGAGCAGCTCTTCATGGTTCTGGAGTTTGAATTTGGAGGCAGTGACTTGGAGAATATGAGAAACAGTTTCAGTTCAATGGCATCAGCAAAAAGCATTTTGCACCAGGTCACTGCATCCCTGGCTGTGGCAGAACAGGAACTGCACTTTGAGCACAGAGACTTGCACTGGGGGAACGTGCTGGTGAAGAGAACGGACGTCAAGGAGCTTCATTATGTGCTGAACGGGGTCACACACACAATCCCCACAGCAGGGATTCATGTCAACATCATAGACTATACCTTGTCTCGGCTGGAGAAGGATGGGTTAACTGTGTTTTGTGACCTTTCCACTGATGAGGAATTGTTTCAAGGCACAGGGGACTACCAGTTTGATATCTACAGGCAAATGAAAGAGGAGAACTCCAACAGCTGGGCTGACTATCATCCACACAGCAACGTCCTCTGGCTGCACTACTTGTCAGAAAAACTTTTGAAAGACATGGGCTACAAGAAAAAGAAATTGACTTCTGTCTCCAGGAAAACAAAGCAGCAGCTTGTTAAATTCCACAACGAAGTGCTGAGCTTTGAGTCTGCTAAGGAAGTTTTACAAAACAGCAGCCTCTTCCAGTGAGCAAGGGAGAGCAACGTTTCCAGGAACTGAGTCGCTGATGCTGCCTTTCTCCTTCACTGTTTTCATGCCTGATCTTTTTAAATGTTGGTGCAATGAAGAAGCATGAATGATCGGTTACCAGTGTGTATAATATACTATCAAAAATGTCTAAAAAAACCCCCCAAAAAAGCCTTCTGCTTTAAGATGTTTCCATATGTACTTTTTTTGAGGTGTGGTGGGGAGAGAACAGAGTTGACGGTTGAGAGGCAGGGAAGAGGCTTCTTCAGGCTTGAGTAATGTTTTGAATTTCACATATTTTTTCTTCCCTTTTCAATCTTAGGTTATTAAAATTCTTTCCTTACTATACTGCCATTCTTACAAATGCTTTTTTTTAAATTAAAAAAAAATAAGAAATGCAATTCTGTACAGTACGGACAAAGGTTCATATTCTTAGTCCAGCTGAGGACAGAGAGGGGAAAACCACTAACTTTTGAATTAATTTTAAAAACTAATTGTTGTTGAGATTAGCAAAATTTGTACCTGGAATGATGCTACAAAGCATCAATACGTAGTTTCAGTGGTGTACGTTTTAAAACCACTCCAATCTGGAAGATTACTTTTTTTTTTCTCTGTAAGGACCAGTGAAGAAGTATTGGATTAGGAGAAAAAAATAAGAAAAAGTACCTGTGTTCCTGATGCATTTTTGACCGTTATTATGTTGTGATCTTGCATACTGATAGGAACCCAAATCTGTAACTCGATGGTAGCGTTAAAGCGATTTTCTCCATGTACCTACAGAAGAAAATACACAAGGTAATAAGTGTTCTTTAGTCCTGATTGCTGATGGATCAGATGACCTAAATTTGAAGCTATACTTACGTTAAATTGGAATTCTTTGTTTTCAACAAGTCCTTCGCTTACGGTCACATACATTAAAGAAACTGGGCTAAAGAAAGCAATAAATCAAACTAAGTGAAAAGCCAATCAGATTATTATTCAGAATTAGTACGTCCAATGACCTAGATGCATTAAGTAATTAAGGGGTAGCATCTTCAGATTTGTTAGAACTGGGATGCTGCCTATGCAGTCTATGTATGAGTGTATATATGCAGTCTGTCTGTGCATGCATGTAAATATGCAGTCTATCAATTAGATGCATCTTTGAACCTATCTTGAAGTCTACTTTTTACAAGGGAAGCAGGTAGAGACCCTCGCTACCCCTGCCTGTGATACAGTTTTACTGTTCCGTCTTTCAGACTCCGTTTTTGCTGTCTGTTAGCACAGAAAGGGACTTGACAACCTGCAGTGCTTGAAATTATTAAGATGAAAATTGTATTGGAATCTTACCAGGCATCCTCTCAATGTTTTTTTCCTCTAATTGACTGAAATAATGCAATATAGTTGAATATTCTTAAAACTTACTTGGTGAGGACGGCAGTGAATGCATATCTGACATCAAGGATGTGTTCTTCAGTCAGAATGGTGCTATTTTCATTCATGCTTTAAGAAAACAAAACAGGATGGACAAAACAATGTTATTATCTGCCTGCCTTGGTCCTTTATTTCTATGGATCGAGAACTGCTAACACTGGCTGTACAAGAGGGATGGAAACAGTGGCTGTAGTTAATGAAAGAGGTGCCAGCCCACTTGGTGACATGGTACAGCAGTGCTGGAGTAGCCCAGTGGGAGGAAAGTTATAAGAAAGGAATTTGACTGGAACTTCCCCCCATTAGAAAGCCTCTAATGAAGAAAAATGCCCTGAAGATGTTTTCATCCCAATCATTTAGAGTGAAAACTCTACTTAGAACAGAGCTGGATTATGTATTTTAATCATCTGTTCTCTCTGCTAGGGAAGGAGGATGCCAGAACCCAGTTTGCCATTTCAGAAAACACACTTTTAAATATGTACTACATTTAAATTAGGACATTAAAGGGTGCTCCATCTTTCACTGAAATAATGAAGTATGAGCAAAGGTAAAATTATCATAAGGGAAGATTTTTCACATGGATCCAAATGCTTTAGAAGGTTGAAGAGAACAAGAACAGTTTTGTTTAACCAGTGACTGATAAATAGTGTGGTCACTGAGTAGGAATTCGGGTATTTTCTTTCTAGTGTGTTTTGTGGTGAAAACAGCCATACTCACTTGGTGATATTGATGCTGATTGCAGGCTTATTTTGGAATATGCTTTCATCTAATTGCCAAATCACCGAAAATTTTGCCTATTTTGAGGAAAGAGAAAGACATAACAAAATATCGATTACCCTGTGAATACTCGTTTAACTCACCAGGATAGTGTTAAAACATGATGGCTAACGTATTTTCTGCTTTTCTTTCCCTTCTGGAGAAATTAGACATTGAGGAAAATGCAGGAATATGAAAATGATCTCTTGCCATAAGCTGAATTAGGAAGAATAGCAGCTCTGGCCTAATTGTAGAGGTAGAGGGTGCTAGAGCAGCTACTCAAAATATCATTTAGAGTTAGGGGAAAAAGTGAGGATAACAATCCGTACTTACAGTTGTTGTCTTGAACACTGGATGCCCAATTCTGCAGTTACAGGATAAGACTTGAGAAGTAAATGGTGTTGGTTGGCCACAGTGAACAGCAGGAGAGGATGGCTGCCAACGGGACAGGAATGTGAATGTTAATGTTGAATAAAAACAGACTGGGAAATTCAGCTCAGTCTGTATGCTTCCATAAAATGAATTAGGTACAAATAGCCCAATAAAAGCTTGGGAGTCTTAAATCAGATAAAGCCGGTATTTGGGCTCTAGTCCTAACAACTGAAATGCTCCTTCCCTTCCCTGGGCCTTACTTCGAGATTTATTTAGGTAGTAAATGAATAGCAGCCTATGCTGGGTTTTCTTTCAGCAGCCTGCTGCTAGCTGAAGAGTTATTCTGCAATAACTCTACAATATCTTACCTCAACAGTCACCTTCTTAAAATGCAGGGATTTGGGGTAGTTCAAGACCATCGTTGTCATGTACGAGTCATCTCCACTGTTCGTTAGTGAAACGCTCATGGTCACTGCTTTAGTGTGGCCCACCACCAACTCCTTTCTAGAAGCAGACAGAACAAGGGGATGGGCGACATGTAATTTCTAAGGGCTGTTATTTAGTAAGAAGCCTGAAGCGTTCTGCTTCTGGTAATTACTGCCTCCAAAGGCTTTCACACACAGGATAATGCAATAGCTCAATTAATTATTCAGTATTCTTCCGAGTGTGTAGGAAAATGCTTCCTTCTTAATATCAAAGCCAGTCATCTCCAGTCTTTATGTAACATTTCATTATTTCTGTTTTATATCAAGACAGATTTTAAACATTGTTCTGCTCGATTTGCTTTTCAGTGACTCTCCAGGGTGAAGTTTTACAATGAAGTGATGCCTGCTGTTCTGTCTAAGGTTATGTAAACTGAGCAACTCTGCTGCGGTGCTCTGCATCAGCCTGAAACAAAATCACATGTTCACAATTAAATGCCAGAACTGAGATTTTAGGATGACTGTGGTTGTTTAAACCTTGGCGTTTCCTCTGAGATTTCCTAGAGCAGCCCAGCAGTGCCCATGGGGGCAAACAGTTCCAGCACTGTATGAATGTGATGCTATTGGAAGGAGGAATTGGATGGAAAGTCATGTAAACAAAGGAGCAGCAAATTTTGCCTGAGAATGTGAAGAAAACATCAAAGATGACATTTTATATGAATGCTGAATGTGAAATCCAGATAATACAACTCCTATGACTCACCTAATCTGACTTGTCAGAGTCAAATGAGCAGTACAGATGGTTGTCTTGTTGCAGTCCTTCTTGTAAGGCAACTGAAAGCAAACACAGATCAAGTCAGATTTTAACAGTCCTAATTTTTCTAAGGTAGCAGATTCAGAATGTCTTTACATAGTTACATTCTCTGAAAACAAAAAATTTGAGAAATTGGAAATAAGACCCTGTAGTGATAAGTCAGTCCTAAATTGATGATGTTTTGTTATTCAGCTCCCAGGAGAAGGTGTATTAGCAAGAACATGAGAAGTTTTCACTGGGGAAAAGGTTTTCTTAGAGAAATGCCAGTTGTTTTCCCCTGGATTGCCACAGGGCATTAATATTAATTCCTTTTCCAGAGATGATATGTTTTTCTTCAATAAATATGTTCATGTGCTGTGCCAGTTTATAGGTGCACTGTTCTGTAGAGATGAGGTTACTTTAGCAGCAGTTTTATTCACCAATAAAAATCTGCTCTCTGTGGCTGATGTTTCTGCAGAAGTTCAATGATAATTAATAATTAGATATTGGGTACATAAGTACTAAGCAATGCTGACCAACAGTCAAGAATCTCATTAATTATTCTTAGGACATTAATGTAGCATCAACATCATAATGCCTACGAGTATTACGACTACAGTAATTAGTGTTCATTATTGCTCAGTCCTAAATGTCCTAACTTCTCTGTCCGGTGCTTTATGGACAGCTAATTAAATATTGAACTGTGGCAAAGACTCCTATTAAGTAGCAAAAAGCTGCCTCATTACAGAGCTTTGTGATTTGGATTTCAGACTAACTGAAAAAGAGCTAGATTAGCTTGGAGGAATCCTGCTACTACACTGCAAGACAGGACACACAATATTAACTTAAAGGTTATGTTTATTAGAAGTTTGGAGCCTCCCAAATACCAATGTGAAACAAACTACTAAAAATAAAAACGCACACATCATTTTCATTATTTTTAAAGTAAGTTCATTAGAAAATTGTGTAGCTGTTATTATCAAATGCACCATTCAAATCATGTCTTAGTAAGTTCCAATGTAGAGCTCAGTATCTGAAAAGGGCTTCACGAAACACAAACCATCAGCCTTCTTCAGAGGCAGCATCTAATCAACCTCATTTTGTACAGGAGAAATGTGATTCACAGAATCCCAGAACGTTAGGGATTGGAAGGGACCTCCAAAGCTCATCCAGTCCAATCCCCCTGCCGGAGCAGGAACACCCAGATGAGGTTACACAGGAAGGCGTCCAGGCGGGTTTTGAATGTCTGC